TTGCTCGGCAGAGCCCAACGGGGCGCGGGTTAACATTGTTATTACGTTGGTTTGATAAAGGCCAATGGCTGAAAGCTCGCCGTTTTTTTAAATATATTATTCGTTTTTTTAACATTTTGATGTCGAGGAAAAGGTAAATTTCTCTTATTTATCTAATTATATTCAGTATGTTCCTCGCTCGACCACTTAACCCTATTCCTGGCGGGGGGGGGGGCCTCAGGAGCCCCCCCCCTGAGGTTTTTTGGTTATTTCTCCCAAACGCGTTGAGCTAGGAAGCTCAAATTTTCTGACTTTTCCTATAAGGCTTCTACGCAACATGTCTGAAAATTTTGAGTTGATCTGACCTCAGGTCAGGTCACCAGAGGCGGTTTGGTGACCCTACCTCAGAAAAGTTTGCAATCACGCCAGAGCTAGAGTTTTTGACCGATCAATTTCTTCTCTTCAGGCTTTAGTTAGGGTACCAGTATGTGCAATTTGTATATCTCGGAATTTTGATATCGGTGACCTAAGGTCAGGTCAGTTTCGCGACCTCCCCATTATAAGTCAATGGGGGAAAAATCAACTCCCTGTTTTTACCACTAAAACGGGTCGGAATGGCCCCATATACCATACATGACTTCATATACGATTAACCTTCACTACCTTGAGGTCTGTTTTGCTGTTGGGCAGCTGTGAGGTCATGTGACGTCATCAAAGGTCACCAAAGGTTTTTGGCCAATAACTCCGTACAGGAACAAGATACAGACGCGTGGATGGTCTCATTGTGTTCAGCTCGTCAAGACGCATCGAATGATATACATGATGACCTCGAGGTCACGTGACCTGAGGTCAACTTTTGACCTTGACCTTTCGAGGTCAACATATATATCATTCGATGCGGATTGACGAGAGGATCACGATGATGCCCTTAGTTTGTTCCTATCTTGACTAATTCGAAAGTTATTCGAGAAAAACTCTCTCCATATCTAGCGCCGCCATTTTGACTTTTTCGACCACTGTGACGTCATCTTTGACCTGACCTGAAAATGACCTTAGTAAAAATTGTAGACCTTGTCCATGCGTATCCGATGCCGTTTACCGCTTGTCGCTATCTTGCTTCGTTCTCGAGATCTCAGGGGGGGGCCGAATCGGCCCCCCCCCCCCCGCCAGTTTCTTGTCCCGGCGGAGCCCGCCAGGAATAGGGTTAATAATATTACCAATCTAGAACATGTCTTACCCATAAGGAGGCTGGCTCCTATTTTGTTACTCAGACATGCTGCAGGGACTAGACAGGCAAGAAACATAAAACTGACTTATCTGATATTCATCTCGTATCTCACATAAGGAATCTCGCCTGAATAACCTTTGGATGGATGGGTGATTCGACAGCAGAATTTGCATATTAGAAAATGACGCGAACGGTGCAAATCCCATGCATTCTATACAGACATGGTACGACAAAAGAACCATAAAAATATGTAGCTCAAATGCCTACGAGCGAATCGCCAAGACCGATGTCTTTATCTGCGCTACTGATTTTGTTTTCGACCTAGACTTGACTGGCCTTCGAAACTTGAATCAGTTCAAGCGATGCTTCAAAAGAACCTATGCAGAAATAATTTTTGCTGGTTTGAACTGATTAAGTGTTTATTCAGACTCTGAATCAGCTTAAATTCGAATAAGTTACTTAGGTACTCTGTCTGATCTGGAAAATACCGATTGGTTTGAAAATCAAGCATTCCCCTCGGCTCTCAGTGGGAGTAAGTGATGCCTGCTTACGTCTATCCCCATTCGACAAAAATACATACATGCAAAAACTCTGTAGAGTGGCGCAATTGAAGCGTTGTTCTCAGTCGGAGAGAGTGCACATTTCCCGGAGCTGCCGAGGCGAGTCAACCAAATGGTGTTTGACAGACCGACGGCCCGCCATCACCTCAACTGACGTGTTATGCTGCGCGGTTCGTCAGACGGCGCGGGACCTAATGGCCCAGCCGTGTCAATACAGCATAGTCTGGTAACTCTCCGAAAAAACTTCTATCAGTGAAACCTGCACACGGCTGAGGCCCAAAACAGCAAAGTCAATAAGCCTTAAGCAGCGCTTGAATACTGAATATCTGTGGCAAAACCTACTGGATATTAAAACTTGTAACATTACATTTCTCATTTTTACTCATATGCGTTGCAAAGCATGCCGCTTACAAGGACAACAGTTAGCCAATAGCCAATAGGTAGTCATAGCTATGTGCAACCATAGTAATTTAATGCGGCAACTTCCGCCACGCCCACTTCATTTTCTCGCCCAGGAGCCATTGGATGTTCGAAACTCCTGTCACTGCTATAGTGAGTGAGGCAGCACACTCTTGCTCCTAGCGACTCGGAGGCCATAACGGACCAATCAGGCTCGTCTATCGCCGGCCGTCAAACACCACTTCGGTCTCTGATGGGGCCGTCGGGACCTGCCTCCCCCCCCCCCCCTGTCGGATGGTCAGGTCACGGAGCGACACTACCGTCCCAGACACGTGGCCCCCAATCTCAGACTGTTAGACTCGACCCTGGCACTATTTCAGCCCATCGCGTGCCCGAATCAGCAGCCGGGCGGCTTGTTAGCCGTCAGATCTGTCACACTTGCTGTTATTGTCAGCGCTCTAGATACGGCTATTTTTACTCGTCCGATGTAGAGGAGCGATCATTGGGGGCGTCACGATCGCCTGCGATCTTCATGGATACTCAACCGGATGGACACCAATCAGGTATAGACAGATGGCACGACGGGAATCCAATAGTCGGCCAATAGCTGTCGGATTCCCCCCCCCCTGCTCCCCCTCCCCGTCATTCTCGGTGCTTGTCTCAGGGTCAGCCAGTGACCAGACCGGTCTGCCCGGGGCGGCGGTCACTGCGGTCACTGCGGTCGGCGGTCGGTCTGTCGGTCGGGCGGTCGGTCTCCGGTCGGTCGGCGGTCTCCGGTCGGTCGGCGGTCGGTCGGCTGGTCGGCCCGGGTCGTCTGGTCTCCGGTCGGCGGTCGGCCCCGGTCGTCTGGTCGGCGGCCGGCCGATGCTGTCAGGTGTCGCGTGCTACACTCTGCTGCCGTCGGTCGTCGAGTGACGCGCCAGGCGGCCGGCGCCATCGGCCCCCGGCGCGCTCCGTTTGTGTTGGCCGTGGAGCGGCCGCCAGCCAGCCGGCTCGCCGCTCCGCCAGCCGGCCGCCGCGCCGGGCTGACCCGCCGGCCGGGAGACCGGCCCGCTGCGTGCCGCGGTCACTGCCGGCGCACCGCCGATCTCTGCTTACTCTGCACTCCACGGCCGCTGCCCGGATACGCAGACAAACATTGGGCCATGTCACATCAAATGAATAATGTAGGCCGGCAAACACGAAAATCGGATCACGCGCGCGGCCGCACCGATATCCGTATGGCGAGTTCCGCTGGAGCCGAGATGTGGAGGACAGTGCGCTGCCATGGCATATGGCGTAACCAGATTGTATGTCAGCATTAAAGAGCACACGACGTGCACAGAAAGTCACCAGGCTGCCCTGGCTGCCGCTCAGGATAGCAAATAGGCGGTGCCAATGGCCCTGACATTGACGCGACCTGCCGTGAATGAACTACGTCAGTCTGTCTAAACAGCCTGCGATAGGTTGTCAATCACAGCTAAATGTACAACATTCATCTCCTATAAACGAGGCGATAATAATTGATGTTATGTTATTTTACTTGAGTGCAGCGATCCGTTACCTTAGCTTCACCAGTCATCTCAAATAATCACAACAGCTAAAATGAAAATTTAAAACTTTTTTCACAAACCTAGCCTTCTAAAACCGCGGATCGGTTAGACCTCCTGGGCCTCGTTTGTTCGATGGCATTTTTTGCCGGTGTCCGCGGCAAACACGCCCTATTTTCGTCGGAGCGATGGAGAGGGACCCCCCCCCCCCCCCGTCGATGTCGGTTGACAGTTGGCTGGCCGGTCGGCGGACCGCTGGCGGCGTCCCGACAAACCACCATCGCTCACCCACCACCTAATTACCGTTTTTCCGTTCAAACACGCGCCCAATTGTGACACCGCGCTGGCCGCCGACCGTCGCTGGCCATCGCAGCACAGTCGCATTGTACGGTTTTTGGCCAAGGAGACACAAACAACCACTATCTTAGTAAAAACGGATCCATCAACAGATTCCGCTTTCCTTGCGGAAAAAAGGACTAGAAATGATCATTTTGAAATTCACGGCCCATTAAGTGGTTAAAAACCATTATTGCTCTGAAGAAAAAAATGTTTAAGTATCTCAAGCCGTTTTATGGTTCAAACACTTATTTTAAAAAAATCGTAAAACATCAATACAGCTTCTCTTTCATTGTAATTCGCTGGGCTTTAGCTGACCTCAGCGATCCTACTTTTACATGCGATGCATGCAGTGATATCCATACGAGAACACCAGCTCTCACATTGATGTCGCTGATCTATCCCAAAAACAAACCATCTTGATAACGTCCGTCAGGGCGGCAATTCACGGCAGCTGATGTCCGTCCAATCGCTATCGAGTGTGAGTGATGTCCGCGATAGCCCTGTGCAGTGTGCGCGGTGTGAGCCTCGGCTATCCAACCCACTGTCTAGAGAAGGCGCCGTCAAACGCTGGTGATCTGTCTCCGCGGCCTCCGTCTGCCGCCCGAACTCGGGTCGAGGGGTGTCGGTCAGAGGCGCCGGGGTTGGGTGGAGTGGGCTGGGGAGTCAGATAAGACGGGGCTGGAGTCAGAGTCGACTTATTGGGGTATACCAAGCCTTTGGTAACCATATATGGGCCAGATAGGACAAAAGGGCACCGATAGTGACCAAGCGGCCCCCGGTAGCGACCGAGTGGGCCCCGGCAGTGACGGAGGTCCCCGAGTGACCCTGTGGTGGTGGCGCGGGCCCCGTGTGGCTCCGCGGGGCGGCAGAGCTGGCCCCACGTGGCGCCGGTGGTTGTCCGTGTGGTTAGGAGGCTGCCGCACCCATGTGTTGTGGCCGGGCAGTGACGATAAGACGGCTCAGCGCTCACAGAAGCCGGGCCTTGGACTTACACGAACCAGCTCTCTGCGGCCGCAACAACCGGCCCGAGTCGCGCAGAGGCGGCAGGGATTCTGAGGCACCCGAGGGCCACAATCTCAGGGCTCCGCACTCCGCAGTCACGTGTACGAAGACGCTGTACTGCCTGTGGTTAAAGGTTCCCTTAGTCACTGGCAATAGCGACAAGTTTTGTGAGATACCATCAGTTGTTCACGATTCAAGAAAAAATAATAATTCAACCTTGAACGGTTTAGGGTAACATCAATGACAAGTGAAATTCAGGGAAGTCCTTTTCGAGACAGCTCAGATTCATAGCTAATGAAAAGTATGGCTTTCTTTCTATATGGCATTATTGGCAGTTCAAGAGTGTGCCGCATATGGAGAGCACCGACCCACATCCGACGTACAGGGCCACGAGGCTGTGCAGCGCGCGCTGTGTAGGTATGCAGCTGTTCCGGGAATCGGCCGCCCCCGACTGACCGACCGGGCAGGCTCGACGACCTGATACCCACAAATTTAGCACGCCCTTACGGGGGAATAACGGCCGTGGGACTGGCGTAAGCATCCACCCGGCCAGTTAAAAGGCCAAGATATGGCGCACATGACATTCATTCGTGTACTTGTGCTGAAAGCGGCGATTAGTACCGCTTGTAATGCGTTATTAGTTAACAAGGTATTACGTCACTTACTAGCCAAGTCAGGATTTTATTCATGTTTCAGGGCCGTTATCTCGGCATTAATGAAAAGCTTTTCAGACCACTTCTCTGGCGAGCCTCTGAAACATGTTTTATATTTTCCTTTTTCATCCACCATATTCACTAAGATTTTTGTCAGTCGGTAGCGTGTATACCCAATGCCGACCTTTTCTCCATAAACATAATTTTATTGTTCAGTGACTGACACGAGCCATCAATTTCAACGATGACATTTAATGACTGACAAAGATGGTTTTTCCGTCTTCTGGCACAGGATATCCACAACAATCTCAGTACACATCGCGGCTTTCGGTTTGCACAAATCCGGATGGGACTGGGCTCGAAATTCAACGTTAGGTCAGCAACATTACGTAAATATATTTGCTAGCTAGCCAGCAAAACAAAAAACAAAAAGATATCAGCTGAAGCAGCTAGGACAACCTCGTCTCGGTCAGTCAATCGTGTTTTGCGTTTGCTAAGTGCCGTTTGTGATATCCCACTACCACTCCTGGGTACCTCTAGCGACTACACCGTGCCAGACGCACCGGTCTTCATTTTCATGTCATCTCAGAGGGACCCGCACAGGCAGACGGAGTAACTCTGAGCATCATCACTTCATCAACTGACCAAACTGCCTCCGCTGCCGCTGCGGCCCGTCTGCGGGACGATCCGGCGCTCACGGCATGCGCTGCAGGTGCGCCCAACACCGGCATGTGTGTCTATTATAATAATCCGCCGGCCGCGGTTCGCCGAACAGCCCGTATCCTGTCGACAAGGCCGTCAGGATCCGTTCAGGGAACGGTGGCTGCTACCCCGTAAATGACCCGGGCACCATGACGCCGGAGAGGTGCCGAGGCAGCCGACCCAATGCTGTGACCAGTGGGTACCGTGTCATGACCTGTTCCATCCCTTTCAAGAATGTATATCTATAAGGTCTTGATTGCAATATCAATCCATACGTGTCATTACTAAGGAAAACCAGTTTCAACTTGGATGACATGTTTATTGATATTCAGGAGAGGCTTTGAAGACGAAAGGCATCAGAGTTCTGTTGTTTTAGAGGATATACTTATTACCTTATCCCTCGCCGGCACAGGCCATTTTGAGTCCTTCGACGGCACAAGGGGGGGGGGGTTGGTACGACCCCCCCCCCCCCTCGCGTTTGGCCCCTGATCGAGCTAGAGCTTCGCGAAAAAAAATGAGTGTGTTGCCCGTCACGAAAGGAAGCCGATGATACCCAACTTTAACCCGCGCCCGGCTGGGGGTCCTGGATTTCCACGCCCTGCTGGGGGGTGTTTGAACACCCCCCCCCCTTGTAACTCGGCTCCTGGGCCACGTAGCGATACGCGGAAGGCGGCGTTCGAAAGAGCGTAAAAAATAATGACGAAATCACTTCAATCAATTTTTTGGTCAGGTCAAAGGTCAGGTCACCAGAGGTCATTGAAGGCAAAATTTCGCCGATTTCCAGGTCGAATGTCGAAAATTTCCAAGAAGCCAACGCATAACTCGGGAACCAATAGAGCTACAGCGCCGCGGAAAAGCGCATTCGATAGCCCTATTAACGCCCTTTCTGATTAATTCTCTCAGATTTGACCTAACGTCAACGGTTTTGCCTGCAGGGGGCAAAAACTGCAAAAACAGCCGATTTTTTCGGAAACAGTTTTTCTGCAATAACTTTTGACCCAAGCCTCGTACGAGCTTACTTTTACCGGCATCGTGTTCCTCTCGTCAAGACGCATCGAATGAACTATAACTTGACCTTGAAAGGTCAACTTGAAAATTTGACCTCAGGTCAAGGTCATGACCTGACCGGAAAGAGTCATGTTGCATATCAGTCGATCCGTATCGTCGAGCTGAACACATATAAGGCGTTTTTATCGCTCTAGCATGCCTCTATCAAAAGTTATTTGCGAATAACTGTTAGATACCCTCCGTGACCCAAGATGACCTCAGGGCACAAACAAGGGTCACGGACACCATTTTCATGTTCAATGTGTCTGAGCCACTTGTAATTCGGTGTTTGGGAGTGTTTATAATGTCTTTCATCCAAAAGAGGCGCATTTCAATTTTCTCCAATTGACTTATACCTAATGGGGAGGTCGCCAAATTGACCTGACCTTAGGTCATCGATATCAAAATTCTGAGATATACATTTTGTACATGCTATTGCTCTTAGCAATCGCTGAAAGTTTCAAAGCGATCGGTCACTCGGTGTAGCTATGACAGACATTGAAACTTTTTATGAGGTGAGGTCACTTCAAGTGACTTGGTGACCTGACCTTGAACGACCTTGGTCTGAAATTTTCACATGTGTAGAATTGATGTATGATAAGGTGTACCAAAAACGGCGGCGCGGAGCGACGCCGTTTTTGAGATATTCGCGAAAAACCACAAGGGGGGTGTTCAAACACCCCCCCCCCCCCAGCAGGGCGCGGGTTAAGGTCCTAGGTCATCGGGTGACCTTCCAGGTCAGGTCAATGACCCGAAAACCGGGAAAATCGGGACCTGTTAGAAAGTCGTAAAATGTGGCTGCTATGTGGTTTTCCGGGGTGCTGATCACGAATATCGTGTTAGTTTTGATCATAGATGATGTCTCTAAGCATTTAGACCAGGTCGGGTCAGGTCAGGTCAGGTCAACCGGTAGGGGCTGTGACGGGTATTCGTAATACGTGTCAACCGCCTCGGACAGCTTCGTAACATGTTACGAAGGCACCAAAACTACTTCGTAAATGTTCAAATGGTTGCTAAATTCGAATTCAGCTCCAAAAAGTAGCCTAGAAACATGTAAAACTCGAAAAAGTGAACCGAGGTCACCCGAGGTCACCAAAGGTCAATGACCTGACCTGACCTTCAGGTGACCTTGACACCCACCCTAATGCATGGGAGCAACATCAAATCACATGTTTGAACGTTTGAAACCACGAAAAGCTTGCAAACGCGCGGCTAATGCGAGCCGACATGCGCCGAACCGCGATTTCGGCCAAACATGGTCACAGAAAAGAGGTCACAGGTCAAAGGTCATTGGGGTCAGGGTCATGAAATTTTCAGAGTAGGTGTAAAATTGATCAATGCGAAGGTACTGAAAGTTTCGTCGCGATCGGCCGCTTTTTACGCGAGTTATTCGCGAAAAACCTTAGGGGGGTTGCATCAACCCCCCCCCCCCTGTGCCAGCGAGGGTTATATAACAGTCTCCAAACAGACCTTGACTCTGAAATGGCTAACATCTGACGAATTTCCCATTATCAGTTTAGTTAGTTTGCGCGCCACCTATTTAGGTACACAATTCAAACTGTTGTAAGGAACGTCGCATGCCCTGCCAAGAACAGCATCAACAAGAAATACGATTAGTATTCAAAAGTGTTCCGAGAATTCGCATGAATGCTGTGACGCTGGTGGCTAAAAATAGACCCTTGCGAGGTTGGTCGACGCTAGAAATGATTATATCCTTGTCGTCGTTCACTAATCGCTGCTTTGTTCATAAATTTCAGATATGCCCTTAGTGCTGGGATAGATAAACGATAATAAGCAATCAAGGACGATATGAAGAAGGTAATATTTATATCACCGTGATGTTCCACGTTGGCCACAAGAGTTATACCTATCAGTTGCCTGTGCCAATCGTATATGTGGGGGTGTGGCTTATAAGTCATGTGCAACTGTTATTTACTCATCACAGTATTGCGGCCTCGATTTGGCATTCATTAAACGGTTATTTTGGTGCAGCGTTTTTGTGAGTGAAATAGGTGTCCGAAAGAAAATTTGCAATCATTTTGTTTCTTCAAGTGCTAAATGCGCTAGATCCTGTACTAAGTGAACTTTGATGAAAAATCATTTTTCTTACATTTGTCCTCTAGGCAGTACAGTGAATTAGGTATATGCGGTATACCTCAGGTGTACGTAGGGTGAATGAAAAGTTTTGAGCCTAACATAGTTGCAGGTGACGCAGATTAATGAAACTTTGGTCACATATTCTGCCACTATTGATATGGATGGACACCAAATTGTGAAGTCCTAGCACTTTTTTCCTCACTTTTTTAGCGCCTTGAATCATGCTATTTTGGGTAAGTGCTCGCGGTGTCAATAACGTCATTATTTTTTGTGAAGCGTCATCCAGTCAGTTTTTTCTTTAGGCTTAGAAAGAAATAGACACCCTAAGGATGCCAATGTTGGTTAAAAGATTAAATTTGGGATACATTGGAAGGCTCAGTAATTGATTGTTTACATTGCAACCAGTGAAAAATACCCTGATTTATTGTCTTGGTGAAACACGACCAATTTTGTCAGCATTGCCCTTCTGATCTTCCTGATTTTCTAACAAAGGTGTATCAGTGGTTCATCCTAGTAATGCCCAATTACAGTAAGACCCTTTGAAAGAAGTG